GCCATTTTCACCCCAAGGGCAAAATACGTAATTTTCATTTAACTGCACAAGACCTGCTCACCGAGCAGTGTGTCACTCGAGGGATCACAGAATGGTGCGTGTCTGCAGGTCTGCCCGGACTGCGTGGGCACACAGTTCAGGGGTGTTTGTGGGTAGTGTGCACAGAAGTGTGGGGGTTACGCAAAGTCAGGTGTGAGGAAAGGAAGTCGGCCGAGGATCCCTACACTTCTCTCCCCCCTGCCCAGTGTGCTAAGGCGGTGGTTCTCCTTTCCATAAGAATCGCCAAGCGTCACAGGTCAAGCCACAGATTCTGGGCCCCAGCCTGGAGGAACCAAAGCCGAGTGCTCAGAGTGGGATCCAGGAGGCTGTGTTTAACAAGTTCCACAGGCCAGTGGTTCTGAAACTCTGGGGCACTAGAACCACCTGGAAAGATCCCAGTGCCGAGGCCCCTCCCCAGGCCACTTAATCAGGATCTGTGTCTATTGCATCAGTGTCTATGAAAGCCCCAGGGTAGTTCTAATGTGCAGTAAAGTTCGGGAACTCTCAAGGTAGTTTGATTCTGTTGGAGGTTTCCTGGCCTCGTAGTTGGGAGGGGTCCCTGAGGAGGGGTCTGAGTGGGGCGGCTGGGGCTGGGGTGGGCAGGCTGCAGCAGGTGGAACTGGGCAGGACCAGGCTGTGTCGAGTTGGCTCTGGGCATCTTGCCCAGGGAAGCATCTCAGAGTTGCCACCACCTATGTCTTCCCCATAAACACAGTGGTATCTGCAGAGAGTGTAATTCCAGCAGTACATCATAAAAGAGACTTTTATGTGAACATCTGCAATTTGGAAGTGCCAAGGCCGTGTTTTTCTTTTTCTGGCCCTAGACAATGCTCTCCTTGATTTACAGTATTATTTTCCCTTTTTTTCTCCTTAGCTTCTGCTGTTGGAAAGAATGATGTAGGCTCCATAGGGAGGTGCGTTTTCAAAGATCAGTTTCTCCATCTGCAGAATGGGCCCAGTCACCCCAGCTTGAGTAGTGCATGGTGGATAAGAGGACAGCAATCAGGACCCAAAGCAAAGCATTTGAGGCCTTTCTTGATCTGTGCTGCCCATTGAGTCCATCCTCATCTGTCCCAGTCTCCACCTCTGCCCTGCACCCACACTATGCCCCGGGCACTAGCACCTGTGCCAGCTCAGTGCACTTGCACCTGGTCCTTGTCTGTCAGGTGCCTCTCCTTCCTCACCTCTATTCCTCCTCCTCCCTTAAGCCCCACGCCCCAGGCCTACTCCCTTGAGAATCTCTCCCCAGGCCCAGCACACGCAGCTCACCCTCCTCTGTCCTCCCAGGGGCAGGTCCGCTTGGATCCCCCACTGCCTCCCCAGCACACAGTGCAGCATCTGGCGCAAAATAAAAGCACACTATAGAGGTGTTGAATGAACAACTGAAAGGGAAAATGAATGAAGGAATGTATGGGAGGACACCATCCTTACAGTGTTTGTTGCACTGAATTGCAATCGTCATTTATGTCTGTTGGCCTCATTAGGTGAATCAGTGAGGTGAGGAACTCTGTCTTTGCACGTTTGCTTCCTTGCAGCCTAGCACAAAGCCTGGCACGCAGTAGGTGTCCAGTAAGCGTGTGTTGATAGAACGAGTGAGTCGATGTACATATCCCTGGTTGAACTGTCAACACCTCAGGGCAGAAACCACCCCCGTGCCAGCCACCTGTTTTCCTGTGTGCACACACGAACACGAAGAGTGGGGTGGGCGGATTATCAGGAGTCTGGACTTACTGGTGACCTGCAGTCACATGCCCTAGGTGGCTGGACCTAGATGCTAGGACTCAGAGGGACATTCACCCACCCAGTCTGCAGGTTTCCCCGCGGCACCTGTCCGGGACTCTCTCCCCAGGCTGAGTCTGGGAGGCTTCTCACCACTAGATGGCGCCAACAGCAAGGGCTGGCTCAGCGGAATGCCCAGAGCCCATCCCGCACTGCCCACCAGCCCATCAGCAGTGTCCCTGTGCAAAGGGAGGCCTTCTCTGTGGCTTCCCCCTAGCCAGCTGCGTGCCCTGGCGCCTCCAGGCAGATACTTGGGAAGGAAGCTTCCTTCTGGGGACCTCTAACTTGGGATGCAGACAGGAGGATGGATGATAACTCTGTGAGTGGGGTAGCCCCCAGGTAAAAGCTTACTCTGGCTGAGCTTGAAGCATCCAGAGTCCAGCTCTGTTCTGGGCACTGCAGGGTGGGGGAGGGTGCGCAACCATGTCAGTGCCAGGCCCTACTTAGTGCTTGCGCTTGCCCAATGCCCCTTCCAACTGCCCCTGGGGCGAGGTGGGCGTGATCATGCCCATCTCACCCTGGGATGCTAAGGATCGTAAAGAACAGGATGCTTGCCCAGGGCCACTGGGAAAGAACCCACGTCTGACTGGCTCAGGTCCCATGTTTTTTTCTTGACACCAAAACTTAGTACTGAGAGGACAGGTTCAGGTTCCAGGATGTGATGTCCAGAATATCAAGTGACACTAAAGCCCTTTTTAGCCAACGATCCCCCATCCATCTGTCCATCCCACCAACTCACATTTGTGAAGCCCCGCTGTGCACCACGTGTGTGTCTCAGGCACACAGAGAGAGGCAAGGCCCAGATCCTACCCTTTACAAGTCCACATCGAGTGTGGGGGGCAGCACCTCTAACTCAGCACATTGAAGGCCGGGAGGGCTTCCTGGAGGAGAGGACATCTTTATTCCTTTGCCAAGAGCACATCCTGGCAAAGTGAGGATGCATCAGAGATGGTTTGTTGGTGCTTAGGAAGCTCCAAGCCTTCTAGAGTTGTACGCTGACAGGGAAAAGCCTCTCTCCACAGCGTCAAAAAGAAGGGTGTGTGTGTGTGTGTGTGTGTGTGTGTGTGTGTGTTTGACTGGTTTTACTGATTGAGGAATTTGGGGTTTTGTTATATCCTGTTGTGTTTTTGAGGAGGCACAAACAAGGGCAGTCACACTAACACCTCCCAGGTGAATGCCAGCCAGCGCTGCCAACCCCAGAGAGCTTTGTTCTCCACCAGCAAGGCCTTCCAAAGCCACGGCGCCCACAAGCCTTCCTCCCTGAAAGGGGCTGCAGGCATTATTCTCTTGGCCATCCCGGTATCCGTCTTGACCCTAACAGAGAAGCCACCCATCTATCCCCAGTGAGGACAGGGAATGTGCCAGGCACCCTGCCCTCATCCCCATGGAGTTCAAAGGCACAACCTCCAAAACACACAAACGTCTAATTATGAAGCGTGCATGGCGCCTTAATTGAAAGCCAGTCACGTACAGGTCCAGCGGGGCAGGAGAGTCCACCAAGGCCTGAAATCAAGCCTACAGGTGATGAAAGCCCCAAATCAGGGTTTGCCTTTTCAACCTTCAAAGACCCTTTATTCCTTGCAGCAATATTTACTGAACTTACTGCATGCCATGCCCCGAACCCAGAGTCAGACTAATTCAGCAGTTCAGCTGGACTCTGGCCCTCCCAGCCAAGCGTGCAAGGCTGGACCCTGCTCACCTGGGCAAAATGATTCCTGCCCTGGTGTTGAGAGAGTGTCCATGCCTCCCTGGGACGCCTGGAGCTTTGCATGGTACTCAGTGCCTCAAGTTGTGATAAACTGCCACTAATACCTGCCTCCTCCATAAGCTGTGGGTTCCCCAAGCACAGGGAATTTTAAATTTATCTTCAAACGCCTAAAATTTAAGAGAGACTGTGAGCTAGTTCAGCAGACGTTTGCTGGGTGAACGAAAGAGCCCGGAGGAGGCAAAAGGAAAGGGTGTCGCAGCGAGAGTCAGGGGATGTGTTTGTGTCTGGGCCTTGGTGTGAGCTGGGTCATCTTCCCGGAGTGTCCTCCTGCCTCTCTGGGTCTCGTTTCCTCCTTCGTGAAAGGGGCGAAGACTGTCTGAGTGCCGCCGGTCGTCGGAGTGAGATGCAGATCTGTCAGTCCGTAGATTAGGCTCTTCCGGTTCCAGATGGAGGGAGCAGCCTGGAGCCCAGCCGGGACGCATGCTCGCCCCCTCGGCAGCCCTGGCTCACCTCTGCTCCTGCTGAACCCAGGCGTCATGGCTGAGAAGCCCTGGGCAGGACGCTCCGAGGCCCAGGAGTGGGAGGACTGGCTGGAAGCCTGCTTCCGGCCCTGCTCCCTGTGTCCTCAGGCGATTCTCCTCCCCCTGGAGACCCAGGTCTCCTCTGGTGTACAAAGTGAGGGTCCCAGATGGGATTGAAGGAGGCAGCCAGAGAGGTGGAAAGGCGACTGGATCCCAGAGATAGAGGCGGCTTGAAGCTCCCATACTCAGACCGCAGGGCGCCCCCTCTGGTTGCTCCTCAGGGCAGGCAGCTCTGTGGGCCTTGGCTTCCCTTCCCCACTGGCCCATGGTTACGCCATCTTATTTGCCAGGATCAAGATGACGCCGTTGGCTGGGGGATGGGAAGAGGATATTGGGGAGGCTGGGGTGGGGAGTCCATAGCCCTGAGCGCAAAATGCAAAGACTCGTCTGTGCAGGGCTTGAGCTGGCGAGGAGGCACCATGCACATCCCTGCAGACTGGGGACATCCAGATGGCAGGAGCTATAATGTCACACACCTGCTGCTCCACCCCACCAGCCTTTTCTGATGCTCAGAGGGAAAAATAATAACAACAACAGGTCTGCTGGCGAAACCTATGTTGAACAGGGGTCCCCTGACTCAGCAAGGTCTCAAGAAACCTGGGAGGGCGGGTAAAGAGGGTGGGGCTGCAAGTCGTAGCAGAAGGGCCTGGGCTGTGAGCCCCCTGCCGCTGCGTGACCCCCAGCAGGCTCTGAACGTCTCTGAGCCTCAGTCCCTCTCTGTAAGATGAGGCCAGTCACTTGCTTCTGGGGCTCTGGGGACCACCAGGAAGGAAGGACGTGAGCGTGGGGCTGAGAATAATTTGCTGAGAACCTTTTGAGTACCAGGAAGACGGGAGTGTGATACAGAGCCCCCTGCCTCGGCAGCCCGCTTCACCTCTGCCCTCCCCCTGCAGGCCCTCTCTCCAGCCCCCACGACCATGACCTTCACCCCAGCACCCCTGGAGGACACATCCTCACGCCCCCAGTTCTGCAAGTGGCCGTGCGAGTGCCCAGCGTCCCCGCCCCGCTGCCCGCTGGGGGTGAGCCTCATCACAGACGGCTGTGAATGCTGTAAGATGTGCGCCCAGCAGCTCGGGGACAACTGCACGGAGGCCGCCGTCTGTGACCCCCACCGGGGCCTCTACTGCGACTACAGTGGGGACCGCCCGAGGTACGCAATAGGAGTGTGTGCACGTAAGTGAGACCTTCCCTGCCTTCCCACCGGCCCCCCGCACCCCAGCTCTGGCCGAGGCCCCCTCCCTTGGCTCGCCCACAGCGGTTTCCCTGGCCAGGCTTCTGCGCAGGGGGTCCCCCCACCCCAGTCCATGGTTAGAGGTCAGAGGCCGGTCCCTTCCTGGGGCGAGAGGGACACCTGCATTCGTCCTGCCTGCATGACCTCGCCCCTTGCTCTATTCTTGGTCCTGGAGGCACACTCATGGCTGTCCCTGGGGAAAGAAAGCCACCAGGAGAGACCTGAGCCTAGTTTGTTCTCCGAGTGGTAGGATCCTTTAACAGAGGCTCACAGCTCCCAGGGAACACCAGGGCACTGCACTATTCCAAATATTTTAATAACATTGTAAATTAAAATAACATAGTTTTACAAAATCCAGTAGCCTTGAAAGAATGAAAACCAGCAGTGAGCAACCGTTCCTTTCTGCCACCCCACCCACGTTCCTCTGGCTACTACAGTCATTTTTAACTTTTTAGCCCTTTTTTCTGATGGCTACCACTAAATATTCCATGTCTTCTGCTGTATCTTAATTAGCTTGATATATCAATTTTGTATATATTATTAATACATTCCTGTATAGCAGCCGATGACTTAGCTCCTCCATACCACCAGATACTTCCCCTGTATTCCAAATATTGTCACAGTTTTTGGTTCTGCCACCATCGGTATTTACAATGTTATGACCATATAAATATTGTGCAGTATGAGATAGAGTACTGGTCTGAATTTTCTTTCTTATGATGGCTGTTGCTATTCCTGGAGTTTCTAATTGCCTTTACTTTTTCTTTACTCTTGGTCTATGATAGTATTTTCATGTTCAGAGGGAGGACTGCTGCTGTTTGTTGTTTGTTCACTCCTCAAGTGATCCATCACGGGTATTCTGTCCTTTCTCCTTCCCAGAGACCTCATTTCTGAGACTTCCTGACATCCTTCTTTCTGGACTTGTATTCCCTTAGCTTGAATCACCTGAGCATTACCTGAAATACATGGCCCAGCATGACGAAGAGAGGTAACTAGGTGTTATGACACAGCAGCCTAACTTCTGAAAGGTTCCACAAAGTCTCAGAAACCCAAGAGCCCCCTTCGTCCCTCAGGGCTGAATCAAGCCTTCCCCCAACCATGGCTCCATCTACACCCCGTTACCTGTTCCGTACAGCATAGTCTCCTTCCCTCAGCTAACCCATTATATTCCCTGCAGTAGGTTGTTGATGAGGGCTGTACACATAATTCCCAGTCAGACAACCCTCTCTGAGCCTCATGGTCAATCTACGGCACTTTCTTGTCTTTTATCGTGGGTTGGTTCAGCCTTCAACTTTCATACCAAGTCACGTGTCTTCAGCTTTGCAAGTAACCACCCCACTTCCTCCCATCCTTCCAGTTTTCTTCCTTTTCTTGAGCAGTGTGTTCAAAGATAACTCGCAGCATCACCTGTACAGAATTATCTGACGTGTTGGCTAAAAATGTTCCTCCTGATCCCTACCCCAGACTTGTTGAGTCAGAGTCTCTGGAAGTGGGCATGGGGATCTATACCTTTAATGAGATGCCCCGGTGGTTTTCATGTGCGCTGAAGTTCAAGGCTGATTGCTGATACACAGTCCGTCATCTACCCTCTCCTCATGCCCCAGGTAGGGAAGCCTGGCCTGGCTTTCCTGCCCTAGAACCATCTGCCTCATAATTTCTTTCCCTTTTTAAAAACGTTCTTCAAGATCATTAAAAAAGTAATTTTGTTCGTTGCAATTATATTAATCTCTAAAGCTACATTGAGATCTTATCATGTGCCAGGCACCATAACATTATAGACATTCTCTCTTGGATCCAGAGGTTGTATGGGCCGAGAAACTGCCTTTCCTGCCTGCCTTCCCCGTGGGGGGCCTGAAAACCACCTTCCCCACCCCCCACCCCTATCTCTTTGCCTCTTGGATCCTGCCTCTGTGCATTTCCTGTCCTTTTCTTTGGAAAAAACAAGCGAAAACTATGGTCCAAAGGAGATTGTAATAGGTGTTACACTTACCACGGGTTCGCTGGTCAGGTAGGCTTGAGATAAATACGACTAAATAGGAGTTACAGAAATTCTCAGAGGCTTTGAATGTTCGTGTCCACTGTTAAATTCTGAAAAGGGAGCTATCATGAGCTCCGTAATAAGGTTTTTCTTTTCTAGCAGAGAGGAACACTGAGCTCTTGTCCAGGTGGATTCTCATCCACTGACCTCACATCCCCCCCCCCACACACAGACATCACATGCACATGTGCACACACATGCAAACACACACACCTTGCTAGTGCTCCACCGAACATGCTCCCAGAAACGCCACCAGAGTTTCTGAATTCATGAGACCCTAATGAAGAAAGAGGAGAGTCCAGGAAGGGTCTATAGGTAGAAGAAGAAGGCATTTCTGGGCCAGAGGGAAAAGAGAAAGAAGGGTCCCTCTAATAGACAGTCTTTCGGCAAATGGTCCGCTCAGCCAACGGACAATCCCCAGGACAGGCTAAATCTGTCCTTGGATATTTGCTTGTAATTAGGCCATGACAAGTCCGGTAATAACATAAGAAATTGCAACCCTGGCATGTACAGCTCAAACAGAGGACAGTGGGGACTACGGCAACCTGCCGAATGTGAGCTCTTGCTATCAGAGATGGCCCTGCTGTGCCCAGCCACGGTAAAAGAGCGAGGTCTTGTCCAAACTACTCTGTTTTCAAAAGAGTCCAGAAATCCAGATTTGTGTATTGTTTGTAAATGTTGGCAATGCATTCAGAAATCTTTTAACAAACATTCTGTGGGCCAAACTAAATACATCTGTGGGCAGAGAGTGACCTCTGAATTAGACCGTTTGGCTATTTCGGTTGTACAAACACTACTCTACATTTAATGCAGCTGGGTCAGGCCTGAGGGCATTGTGGTTTGCTGGAAAGATCATATTTACAGGCAGACAGACTTGGCCTGGCTCTGCCACTTGCGAGCTACGTGACTGTGGGCACATCACTTGAGCCTGATAAAACCAGCCTCACATGGTTGTTAAGGAATAAACAGGGGAATGCAAAAAAACAATGTGATTGGCTGTTCTTAGTTTTCATTTTATTTGCTTTGTTTTAACTTTCCTTTGCAGAAGTTATCTCTGTCTTGTCCATGGTCATTCTGAGAGGAGGGGGAAGGTCTAGTTCCAGGACTAGACCCCGCAGTCTAAGAGTGAGGAAGCAGTAAACTCGTGCATGGTCTTTGGAGCTAGACAACCTGAGTTCAAATCCCAGTATCATCGCTAACTAGTACTGTGACTTTAGGCAAGCTACTTAACCGTTTAAGGCCCAGTTTTCTCATCAAGGACAATGTGAAAAAGAAAGCCTGCCTCTCTGGTGGTTGAAATGCCAGGTGCCTGATACATGGTAGGAACCCAGTAAAGATCAGGGCTCAGCCCAGCTCATATCCATCCTTCGATTATTCACACAATGAGCATAGGTGAGTGACAACACAAAAATGGGGTTACAACAAGGCATGACCCACTGTCCTTGTTCCCACAGGGCTGACAGTGCTTGAGGGTGTGTCTGAGGGGAGTGAAGGCCCCGATGGGAGAGCAAGGTGACTCGAGTTTCTGGAAGTCCTTCAATAAGACGAAAGCTAACCAGGTCACATCTGGACTTGCAAGTCTGAGATTAGATAGGAGGCGGCAAAGGAAACTGGCTTCACCATCTCGCCAGGAGCAGGCAGGTCTTTTGATTGGTTAGAAAGAAAAGTGAATGAGGAGGAAACTCTTGAGTCTGCTGATGGGGCCATCACGGCCACCGGGCATCCCACCAGCCTGTCGCAGGCAGGCTGCCCAGAGCAGCAGCAGCACCACCCTCCTCCCCACTCAAAGCCCCCCGGAGACTGTAGCAGCACCTTCTAGATGCAATGGTTCTCAACCTCCGCTGCAAACTGGGTTCACCCGGGGAGCTTTAACAGCTACTGAGGCAAAGAAAAGAAAAATACTGAGATTCAAGCCCACCGCCACGTCCTGAGGCATGATGTGGGCAGCAGAAGTTTATAAAGCTCCCCGGGTTCCACTGCGGTTCCCTTGTGCAGCTTGTGGTGAGAAGCGAAGGACTCCAGGCACCCGTACTGACCTCTCCCTCCTAAGTCTCCATGCAGGGGCTCAGAGCTGTGGGCTTAGCCCTCTCCCTTCTTGCCCCCTTCTCCCACACACAAATGCACACGCGCGTACACACACACACACACACACACACACACACACACACACACCATCCTGGAGCGGGGGCGCGGGCAGGGGTGACTCAGAATGCAATGAGGAGAGACTCACCCAGCACTTCCTCTGCTCTTTCTCCTGCTACTTCCCCTCTTCCACTGGGGTCTGGTGGGAGGACATGGGCTGTGGTCAGATCCCCCGGTTTGGGTCCCAGCTCTATCATTAGCCAGTTTCATAACCTTGAACAAATGAGTCCTTTAACCTCTCTGAACTTTCCTGTCCACCAAATGGGGAAAATAAAACTGTCCCCGTGAAGCGACCGGGAGGACTGAATGAAATAACATATCCGATAGTGCCTGGCACAAGATCAGAGGGTCAATAAATAGCGTCCTTCCTTTCTGCACCAGCCCAATAACCACCCCCAGGAAAAACAGTAGCCGCAGCAGCAACATTCACACAGAGATTCTGCTTCCCGCTCTGGTCACCTGGGACCGGTAACTTCACCTTGCTGCGACTCCGTTTTGCTGTATGGAAAATGAAGGTGACAATGTGATAGTGTTTCCTTACGGAGTGAAATACGTAACAAGCATGATACGGAGGAGAGCCAGTGCCCAATCACAGAGACAGTGCTTACAAAACCTTCCTGCCTGCTCGATATCAGGGTTATTATTATTAATAACCACCCTTAGGCAAACCCAGGGGACAGGACAGAATTATTGGTAGACTGCAGATTCCAGATGCTCCTCCTCCGGCAACACTCTTGCCACCCAGAGGCTCTCTGCCTGTATTCCACAAGCTGTTCTCAAGAGAGAACGTGATATCAGGGGTGACGTCTGGCCCAGCAGCCCCCAAACTTGCCCTGGAGCTCCGGGCTGGCATAACCAACTCCACATGGCCACTCGGATGTCAGCCCAGCATCTCACGCCTAATGAAGGACACTGGAGTCTACCTACCCCAAACCCTGCTCCTGCTAGGAGGAGAGAGCATCTCCCTCCTTCCAGGACTCGGGTCTCAGGACTAGGAGTCATTCTTGATCCCTCTCCTCTCCCCGCTCCATCAGCAAGTCCTGGCAGCTCCTTCCAAATCTGTCTAGAAGCTGTACCATTCTCCTCTTGGCTCTGGGCCTCGCCCTCTCGCCTGGGTTCCTGGGTGGCCCTGGTGCTAGCCTTGACCTCTTCAGTCTCCTCTCAGCTCAGCACCATGAGTGTCCTTGTAAGCATAGTTCACTCACCCACTCAGCTGTCGCTTATCCAGCACCCCCTGTGTGCCAGGCATGGCTCCAGGCTCTCACAGCTTTGCCCTCTCCTCTGAGCCTAGGAGGAAGCCTCCTCTGACCTCCTCTCCTTCTCCCCCCAACACCTGGCCCCCTGTCCCTCCCAGGCCTCTCCCACCTCAGGCCTTTACACCTAAGGTGGCCTCCTCCCCACCTGGAAGTTTCCTCCCTGGGGCACGGGCACTTCCTCGCCTCCTCCAGGCCTGTGCAGCAGCGGCATGGCCTCAGCGAGGCCTTCCCTGCCCACCTTACTTGAGTTTGCAACTGCCCTCCACTCCCAGCTCCGCCTCCCTGTCCCCCTTTTCTCCCAGACACCTGTCACCATCTACTGTCACCGTCAACATCAACACCAGCACTACAGGATCTGTCTTTCCTCTGCCACCCCCCACCACATTGTAAGCTCTTTGGGGGCATGGCTTTTGTCTATTCCATCCACTGTTCAATCCCCAGCACTAGAAGCCTCCATAAATGTGCACTGAGTGAATGGAGCGTTTGTTTCCGGGTGTCCTGGCTTGTTTTACATGCCTGCCTCCCTCAGACCCATGAGTCCCAGCGGCAGGTGTTTGGCGGTACCAGGCTTTGTGCCAGGTGCTGGGGACGCTACAGGGAGCAGGCCACCTGGGTCCCCACCTGTGGGATGCTGTATCCTTTCGCCCAGTGCTCAGCCCACAGAGACTGGCGCGGATGTCACTGGGTGGGTTCTGGCTGCCGCTGTAGAGGAATTTCCGCCCTCCCTGTGCCGAAGTCCCACCCAAGGCCCGTCCCTCCGCTGTGCCCAGCCCTCTCTGCCTCCCTGCATTTGCCCCTGCAGCACCACCCCTCTCGCGTGTTGGGAGACAACCCCAGGGTTGGGGTGTGGTCCAGGGTGGGAGGCTGCCGCGAGTCAGCCCTGCTCCGCCGGGGGACCGCGCCCGCTGGGCCTGACCCGCCGCCGCCTGTGTTGGCAGAGGTGGTCGGCGTGGGCTGCGTCCTAGACGGGGTGCGCTACAACAACGGCCAGTCCTTCCAGCCCAACTGCAAGTACAACTGCACGTGCATCGACGGCGCGGTGGGCTGCACGCCGCTGTGCCTCCGTGCGCGCCCCCCGCGCCTCTGGTGCCGCCACCCGCGGAAGGTGAGCGTGCCCGGACGCTGCTGCGAGCAGTGGGTGTGCGACGACGACGCCAGGAGGCCGCGCAAGACCATGCCACGTGACACCTTCGGTGGGTGTTGGCCTGGGTGGGCCGTGGGCGGGCCCTGAGGGCAGCTTGCAGACCTCCTGGAGCTCCGACCACCCGGGAATGATTCATGCCTGGGTGTCATTCCCCAGTCCACCACTTACTAGCTGTGTGACCTTGGGAAAGTCACATTTCCCCTGGGACCCTATTTCCCCATCTGTAAAATGGAAATAATATCTTCTGTCCTGTCTGTCTCATAGGCAACTCTGAGTATAAAACAGAGTGCGTTCTAAAGAACAAAGCCCTACACATGCAGCCATTATTATCCTACTAAGGAGTTTAGGGATGTGGTGGGGAAGGAGGAAAGGTGGGTGTGTGGGAACTTGGGGAGGGGAGGTGTGAGCAAGAGTAGAGATGTCTTTTTGTCTCATTTCTTCTTACTGGAGCCTAGCCCAGTGCCAGACACTTAGCAGGTACCCAATCATTGTTTGTCATATTGGTGGATAGATGGATGGATGGATGGATGGATGGATGGATGAACAACAGACTGATGGATAGATCAGCTAATGAGGATTTGAACTAGGGCAGTGGGAGTAGAGAGGTGAGGAAGAGGCAGATGAAAGGGGCATTGCTTGAGTAAGACTGAAGGTCTTGGTGTCAATCCAATGCCTGGGGTGAAGGAGGAAGAGGAGTAGAGGAGGACTCCCAGGACTCCTCATTGCCTAGACTAGAATACAAGAGAGGGAGCACGTACAGAGTGAAGCAGACCTGCTTTGTTTGCGACAGGGTTAGTTAGAGACCCCCTGCCTGTGGGAGGATGAAGAGGAGTGTCCGGTGGGGGCAGGAAGCCATCTGCTTGGAGCTGCTGACAGTGGTGTTACTGGGATGGCCTGGGGCCAAGTTCTGGGGAGGCTGACGTTTGAAGGGTGGACAGGAGATGGGATGGGAGGAGACAGAGAGGAGGATCGAGATGTGAGAGGAAAACCAGGAGCAGACAGCGGATGAGGACATTTCAAGAGAAATGTCTGCTAGGAGAGCGGACAGGAAGAAGTGAAGAAATGGCAATAGAGCTTGGGAGTTCTAAAAATATGGGGTAATTTTCCAAAAATTGTAAGAGCATTAGATTGCTCAGGGGCTGTGTAGGGCAGGATTTCTCAACCTTGGCCCTGGCAATGTCTTGGGCCAGACATGTCTTCATGGCGGGCCTGTCCTATGCACTGGAGAATGCTTAGCATCATCCCTGGCCTCTCCCTACCAGATGCCAGTAGCACCCCTCCCTCGAGTTGTGACAACTAATGACATCTCCAGACACTGCCAGCTGGAACAGCAGTGCTGTGTGGATGGGAGGAGTCCCAGGGTAGCTGTCCCCCCACTGTCTCCTCAGGAGGACCACACAAGGGTCACCAGGGGAGCAGGGAGGCAGAAGCTGTCTGCTCATTGTGTGTGGCCCAGTGACCCCGTTCTGACCTGGCACACACAGAGCCCCTGCCTAGATGAGTGACCCAGAAACCAAAGCCCTTTTATCCTCCTAGGCGGATCGCTCCTGGCTGCCTCCCAAGACGCTCCCAGGCCCAGCCCCTCCTCTGTCCTTGGATGCTTCCCTTTCTTTCCTCTGTTTCTCACCCTCTCCCTCTTAAACTCAGACATTCCTGCATTCATTCGTCAATGTTCGCTGCACCCTATCAGCTGGGAGGGCTGAGTGTAAGGCCCTGACTTTCTCTCTCTCGCTCTCCTTCTGGTCGAGCTAGATCTCTCCTCTCTCACCTGTGTTTCTCTCTCTTCCTTTCTCTTTCCCGACCTGCTCCATGCTTTTATTACTTTTCTCACCATCTCTCTGTTCATTCTACCCCTCCTCCTCTCCTTCTCTCTCCCTCTCTCTTTTCTCTGTCTTTCCATCCCTCCCCCCTGCATGTTCCTGCCTCTCTGGCTTCCTGTGGGTCTGGTGGGACCGGCCCGCTCTGCGGCTCTTCCTCTCGTGCGTCTTGTTCTGTCTTTCCGGGGGCAGTTCTCTGTCTTGTGGCTCTTTACTTGCCTCCATCTCTAGCTCACCACCATTTTCCATTTTGCAGGCAGTGAGTGAGCACCTGCCACGTTGCAGACGCTGGGGATACGTGTATTCATAGAGCCACCCAGCAGTGGGTGGTTGAGTTGGTGGCCACAGTCAAGTGACCATACACTGACCGAGAGTTAGCTTTCTAAGGGCCAGGGACAACCTGGCTGCTTTCACAGGTGTGAAGTCATCTTGCCTAACCGCAGCCCTGGGAGACACATGCTGTTGGCAACCCCATTTGCAGGTGGGGAACCTGAGGCGTGGGGTTGAGCCAGCTTTTTGGAAGTTACATAGCTAGTAAGCGGCAGTGCTATCAGAGAACCCTGGTAATTTGACTCTGGAGCCCGTATGTTCTTGTAACCAGCATGCTCTCGGCATTACTGAGACGAAATGTTAGGTATTAGGACGTAGGTACTCACCTTTGAACTCCCCTCAAATAAACTTAATCTCTGCAGAGGCAGGGACAGGGACAATGTTTTTTTTTTTTTTTTTTTTTCCACTTGCTCTCTCATCCAGGCTAGAACTCCTAGGCTCAAGGGATCCTTCCACTTCAGCCTTCTGAGTAGCTGGGTTTGTACCAAGCTCAACAATGTCTTTTTACCTCCTATTCTCAGTACTTAACAAGATACATAATCAGTCAAAATCCAGACCTTTTTATTGTCCTGCCAGCCCACTGGAAGATATTAACTGTTTCAGTGAGGAGGCAGGCCCACAGTGGGTTACCTGAGATCACACAGCTTGTAGGTGATAGAGTGGAATTTGAACTTGTGTCCACCTGTCTCTAAAGATGGTTTTCCTTCCAAGCTTCCATGCTGCTTCTCTTGATTAGAGAAATAGAAGGACCTGAAAATACATTCTCTGCTCCCTGGTTATAAGCCAACTTGTCCTCCTGTGGGGAAGGACACCCAAACACTCTCTCTCTCTCTCTCTCTCTCTCTCTCTGAGTTTTGGGGACCCCAAACCTTGGTGCAGTGACATGAGGGTCTGGGGCTGGTAGAGGCTGGAAACTCATGGGGAATCTGGTGCCACACCCAGCAGCTGCGGACGAGGTGGAGCCGTGGCACAGGAACTGTATAGCCTACACGAGCCCCTGGAGCCCCTGTTCCACCACCTGTGGCCTGGGGGTCTCCACGCGGATCTCCAACGTCAACGCCCGGTGCCAGCCTGAGCAGGAGAGCCGCCTGTGCGACCTGCGGCCGTGCGAGGTGGACATGCGGCCTCTCATCAAGGTGGGTCCAGGGCAGCGGCAGGCATCTTGGACTTAACAAGCAGGCAAACCTGGCTTTGGGTCTGGCTCCTGAACGTTCTCGTGGACACCTTTTATAAAATGGGAATAATTAAGCCCCCCGGGTGGGTTTGGTGTAAGAGTTCTTTGGGATGATGTGTGTTACTAGGCTGAATTCCACTCACTGGAAGCTCTGGTGGTTACTATATTATTAGAATCAAGCTCACTCTGGAGAGATGTCGGGGACCCTCAGAAGCACTCTTCTGTAGTGATTCCGAGAGACCCTCACCAATTCCCATCCTGCTTGCCCACTCCCGCCTGCACCAACACATAGTTATATGGGGACCACTGGATGGGGCTCGGGACCCTGGAGTCCAAGGCCTGTCTGCATTAATAGTGTGTGACTGTGACCAATCTCCTCCCGTCTCTGAGCCCCAGGCCCCAGGTCTTAGACACAGATCTTATTTACGTAACTCAAGCCCTCCTCACTCATGCCTTAAGACTGGTCAGCCTGTTGCCAAATCAAAACCAAAGCGAAACAAAACAAATCTCAGCACTGATTCCATTTTTGGAGCTCCGGTGGAATGCTGAGGAGAAGGTTGCCCAGGAGACAAGATAATCTAGCTCCTGTGGTTCTCTTCTGACATCCAGCATGGCTGCTTATCCCCTGGCAGCTTCTCCCATCATCTCTGTGTCGGTCACCCGGATCCACCCTTCCTCTTCCTTCTCCCTCTTCTCCTCTTCTCTCTTCTTCCTGCTCTCCAATTGTTTTTCTCTGTCCTGCTAGCCTTTGCATTCTCTGAGCTTGGCATACAGTAGGCACTCAGTAGACATCGCTCGACTGAAAACATAAGTGGAAAAGGTACCAGCAGCAGGAGAAATGGGAGAATGGTCCCGAGCTAGGTGAGATGAGTCTATCTGCCACAAAGCTAATGCAAGTTCCTTGTTGTAGGCTCAGAATTTCCTCCCGATTTCATGTCCATAATTATGTGTCCTAAAAGGGTTGCCCAATTGTATAAGCTTCATGCCCCCAGAGAGCCTGCATCTAGCATAATGCGAGGATAAAGTAGACCCCAAGAATTCTTAATCCAACAAGTTTGGTAAGTGGCTACTATGTAGCAGGCACAGAATAAGACTGTAGAGACACAAAAAGGGCACCAAGTCTGAGGGGCTCATAGCCCAATGGAAGGATGGAGCGTCCTTTAAAGGATGTCGATCCAGTAGAGTAAGTTGCATGGTAAGACTGTGTGAGAGACCGTGGGAGGCCGAGGACGGGGAGATGAGGGTAAAGTGTGTCCCCTGACCATGGAGTTCTGATGCTGACTCTGCGACTAACTAGCCAGGGAGCTTGGTTGACTGAAGGAGTTAAAAAGGCTTCCCGTGTTGGTGAAACTGTGACGAATTGGGCATTGGCAAGGCAGATATGCAGGACAGAAGAGAAATCGCAGGCCATGGATACAACCCAAGCGAGGTAATTTCCTCGTGGTCCTCAGTTCCCCTTTGTGTAATCTCGCTGGCTCTCACTCTATTTGCTAATGCCCTTCCTTGCTTGAACATGCTGTGGTTCTGAAAGTAAGGTGGAGTGCTCCTGTGACATGTCAGAAGGTAAAAACCAAGGGCTTGGAGGGAAGAAGGTGGTTGTTCTTCCTCTGAACATCCCCACTGACAGTGCCTTTCCTGTCTCTCAGGCTGAGAAGAAGTGCTTGGCTGTGTACCAGCCAGAGGCGCCCATGAACTTCACCCTCGCGGGCTGCGTCAGCACACGCTCCTACCGACCCAAGTACTGTGGGGTCTGCATGGACAACAGGTGCTGCATCCCATACAAGTCCAAGACCATCGACGTCTCCTTCCAGTGTCCCGATGGGCCTGGCTTCTCCCGCCAGGTCCTGTGGATTAATGCCTGCTTCTGCAACCTGAGCTGTAGGAATCCCAATGACATCTTTGCTGACTTGGAATCCTACCCTGACTTCTCAGAAATTGCCGATTAGGCAGGTACAAATCTTGGGCCCTGGGCCTGGCTGGATGCCTGCAAAGGTGCCAGCCCTCTGTGGCTGTACCTTTGCACCATTGAGTCTTATTTTATCCACTTCCCATTCACTCAGTTACCCTGTTCAGGTCCCTTGGAATCCTGTCCTGTCCCTGACTACCCAAACGGCCCATGATGGTGCTGCTCAGGCCCACAGTATGGTCTCTTCCTTGGCAGCATCGGCGTTCACTACAAAGAAAACACCTGTCTCTAGCCTTTCTGGACAGGACCCAGGCCTGATCCAGCCTGTCCAAGTCACCGAAGTTCTGCTGGATCTTGCCTAAGTTCCAAGGAATGGAATCTAATAGATAGCCAGTACCCTAACTCCCTCTTTTTTTATTATTATTATTATTTCAGCATATTATGGGGGTACAGATATTTAGGTTACGTATGTTGCCCTTGTGCCCCCTCCCGCCCCAACTCCCTCTTTATATCCCAGGCTGCAAGACTGTCTGGGTCCCTTCCAAAGGATAGATGGGATTTAGAACAGTAGACTAATCTATTATTTGGACCCTGCCAAGTGGCACCTTAATGGACAGTTCTGACCTCAGCATACCAGAACTATCTCTGATTCCAACAATGTGTACTCCCCGAGGTCACCAAACACTTGCCAAGTAAAGTGAATGGCTGTTTGGTTTTGATTTTTAATAGCAAGTGGTATCTGGGTATTGTTGAGGTTAAGTTTCTTTTAACCCCTACACTGTGAAGGGTATAGATTAAGTTCATCCCAGTCAGAAATTCAATTTGATAAACGTTCTTGTTGATGGGAAAAGCCCCCAGTTACTGCTCCAGGACAGGGCAAGGCCATCCCACTTCAGAAGGAGCCCTTGACCTGAGCACTGGACTGCTGCTGACTGCCAGGGCTTCGGGCGGTCGGCCAGGCTCTTGCCTGCATCCTCACCTTCTCCCTGCCTGGGGCTCATGGGAATTGGCGGAGCCCCTGGATTTGCATCTCTGGTCCCTGAGAGTGGTGCCCTGGAACATTCCTCTGTTCTTATGGAGCCTCGAGAGCCCCAGATGCAGACCAGGCCAGACCTTCCTGAAATGACCAAGACAGTTCCAGGTCAGGTGTGATCATACCAAGAAGTGGGCCCACTCTGCATCCGCCCGGCCTGGCCTCTCAAGCTGGAGGCTCTGGGACTCCAAGAGTTCCTGTGCCCAGGACACATCTCTTTCTGCCTCAGCAACCCACCTTTCAGCCTTCGTGTCTGTGACCAAAACGGCCCAGTTTTCTGGTGTGAAGACAGGGGTTTACCAGTTGTTTAGAAACAGAAATACTTAACAAGGGTTAAAAGCCAAAAGGAGTTGAAGCTAAAAAGAAGAAAAGGTTGTTATTCATGGAAACGAGGCTATTATTTATTTTATTAGTAAAATATAATATTTACTGTTATAATTCTTTAATTTAGCACCTTTTATATGCCAGACATTGTTCTCAGTGCTTTACATACATTAGCTCATTGAATCTTTGCAACGATGTTGAGAAATTCCCATTATTATTTCTGTTCTTACAAATGTGAAACGGAAGCTCAGAGAGGTAAGAGAACTTGACCTGAGTCAGCCAGCTGGTAAATGGGGAAGCTGGGATTCAAACCCAAGTTGGACAGACTTCATCATTTGCATTTTCCTTCTCTTTATAGAGCTTCCAAATATGTCAGAATAGGAAAACATATTGGAATAAGTGACTTCCTGCTATCCCTTTTCCCTCATCATTCTTTCTAGCCCCCTTCCCAAGAGAAGAGTATCTGATTGTCTGATAATTTAGTTACCTAAGCATAAAAAAAAAAAAATGAGATAGACAAAAGTCCATGCATCCTCTATAGGTCATCCTCTCCTTCAAATCAGAACCAGCATTAGTACTTGGAGTGAATTGCTCCGATGTGCTTAGGCGTGGAAGAGGGAGGGAGACCTGAATTCACCAAACTAATTCTTGCTAAATCTTATTGCAAGCATTTGGGGAGCCCTTCACACAGGCCAGGTCTCCTGCTTTAGTGCTATATCTCATTTAATCCTCATAGCAAACCTACAGAATATGGTGTTATCATCATTTAAAGACAGCTGGGTCTCTGAGAGGTTGAATAATTTGCTCAGGGTCTTACCAGCTAGTGAAGAGCAGACCAGGACCGAAAACCGGGATCGTCTGACACCTGAGCCATCTCTCCTGACACTAAGCCTAGTTATCCTGCCCCTAACATCCAAAGGTATGACCTTTATGAGAGGTGCTTTACTGACGATAGCTGCAATTTTAACTTTGAAAGTGATTCGGAGAGTGATCAAAGAAAATAGATTCAAATGATAGGATTGTGTACAGCCTCGCTAGCATCGTGCTGTGTATCCGTAGGGATATCGCGGGCAAGTAAACTAGCCCGTGACTATTATGTTGAGTTATGTCACTGCTTTTTGCAGACTTGTCTTGATGCAAAGTGACCATGACGATAATAACCCCACATAGCTGGGAATCATAAATGGTCCTAACGGTCAGCTGCAAATCTCTGCACATATATATGTGTTTGTGTGTATATATGTATGTATAGATCTATTTTCAAACTGTGATTTAATATTTAAATATTCCTACTGCCATTTTTGTGACTTAAAAAATATATACCAAGAAATGTCTTAGAATTTCCCAGTAGAGGAAAAATAGCACTTGGGCAATCTGTCATGTTTTACAAGTCCTCATTTTTCTCATGATTTGTGTAGCGTGGAGCATGTTTGCTCAAAGTAAAGGGTTTTCACTGCTTAAATTCTCTGTTTACAGCTTTTCTCCTTAAAGTAATAAATCACCAGCAAAGTCATTTACTGAGTTCGGTGGCTCTTCCTGTGTATTCAGTTGTTATGAGAAAATGATGGAACATTGTGTGTGTTTGATAAATGTCCAGATGGTGGAAATGAGGTCCCAGATATTTTATATATGGAAACAAAAATGGCTTAAAAGTTTGGAGATGGACTTAGAAACATGAATTCCAGAATTCAGAGAAGACTAGAGCAGCCAGTGTATCCAGGCTGGAAGACAAGTGATGTAAATATAGAATGGATTTTAAGCATTTCATTCACTTATTTATTTAATACCTTTCCATATCCCCAGCTAGACTGTGGGTACCTTGGGGTCAGGGGATATCACTGCATCCTCTGAGCCTAGCTCAGAAACAGGCACACGTCAGGGACTGGGGCAGTAAGGGCTGGCTGCATGGACAGAGCATCTATTGCCGACTGCTGTAGGAACCAAGACGAGTAAAAAGAAATGTAAGAGAGACCGCACAGCACAATGGAAACAGCTGTGACTTTGGAGATCAAGTGGATCTTGGTACACTTTATTTCCTACTGAAATTTCTCACTTAACCCATCTAAGCCTCAGTTTCCTCAGCTGTGAAATATAGTACCTACCTCTCATTTGGATGCATATTACATGCAAAATTTTAAGACAGAGCTTAGAACATAGGAAGCACTTAATAAACACATCTATTACTAGCTGAGTCTCGGTTTCCTCATAAACTGGGGGTAATCAACAAGGCCATAGTAAGAATTAGCATCAATATGTGTGTCTGCATATTTAACTTATTTAGCCCTTATTTAAAATAGCAAATATAAGGAAAAAGTATTGCCAATATTCAGTTGAATGCTGCTTTACTTTAATCATAGGCTTTTTCTCTTCCTAATTTTTTGATTTTTTTTGTTTTCCTTTTATGCTGTAACTTGATTTAAAACTCAGATTCTTTAAGGTAGGGAGAACATGTTAAACCTTTCTGTGTTTCTCAGCACAGCACATAACACATGCTCAGCTGTATGTACAGACGCAGATGAAGTGAGTGACTCTTTTGAAACCCCCTGGCCAAATCCCCTTCATCCACTACCCCTTGAAACACATGAAGCTTTTATAAGTAAAGTCAAGAGGAGACTCAATTCCAAATAAAGAAAAAAAGAAAGTAATTGTCACATGAATTGTTTCCAAGAACACTCCTAGCCTGAAGCATATTGTTTTCAAAATTTGAAGTTAGATCGTGACGTCCTGTGGATGCCTCAGATTAAGATGAATGTGTAGACTTTGGGAACATTTCTGAGGATATCAGGTCGCCGCAGTTTTGGGAAAATGGGATTTGGAGGGAATGGCCAGAGTATTTTACTATAAAGCACTTTATTATAGAAAGCATACAGCAGAGAAGCCAATGTTCTCCATCATCTCCACTGAAGCAATGAAAATGCAAAGGTATCCTCTGTTTCAGAGGTCCAAGTTCTAGTTGAATCTGGGTTCTTTCTAAATGTATGACTGAACAAAAATGACTTGTAAGGAGATGAATAAACTGGCATAAAGCCCACGCACTGTTTCATACATTATATTCTGTAAAGCCTTTCTTCAGATCTCTACTCTAAACCTCACTGCTCTTGTTTTTCACACAATGTGGATTTCTTACTTCAATCCATAAAAAGGGAAAGGAAGCTGCTAGAAGCAGGCTTACTGATGGCAATGAGAAAACGTCAGCCTGCCTGCAAAGGGGGTAAAAAAATTTAAAAACCAGATAAGAGATATCACAAAAGCAGGTCACCCAAGTCTGAGTGGGACTGTTTAATGGAGAGACAAACAGCCCCCACAGTTAATTAAAACCTTGTGGGCATCCACGGTCTTCGTTGGTCCTGGGAACTAACTCATGTTCTACAATCTCCAGGCTTCAGTAGGTGGTAGCATGAGTCAGGTGCTCAGTGAACTGTTTTAAAAGGCAGCAAGGCATAAAATCCATTTTAGAAATGGCTGGACAAGCCTTTTAGTCTCTCTGAGCCTTGGTTTTATCTATGAAGCAAGGATGACTCCTCCCCACAAAGAATAAAAAGAAGAAAGACACTACGATGTGCACTAAGTATTGCTATGATTAGGGGAAGTGTGCATCTGTTTATTTAACACAATCCTCCTGTTATGTGTTTGGCAGTGCGCTGGCCCTGGAGGTAAGAGAAGTAGAGAATCGCTAGTTTGGGAAGGAAGGGACACACACGGTGGGTGATGTGCATGGCAAATGCTAGATGTACCCTTTCTGCCGGGGAGCATTCAGGAAAAGCTTCTCGAAGCAGGGATGAGGAAGGGCATGTTCTGCCACCGTGAGGCTGGCTGTCAATGGATTTAATTGTGCAAAGGATATTCCAATTCACCCAGCACAGCCACGTCAGTTACCCAGTCCACTTGCTGCATGTATGCGAGGGCAAGGGGGTAGGAGCAATGTGAGCCCAGTCACAGCTGATTGGACAAGGAGCGGACACCTGAGTAAAGCTGGGCCAATTACATTCTTCCCCCTAAGAGACACAAAGACCTTATTGGCTTCAAGTCCAAGAACTGAAAAGCCAGGTAGCCCTTAGGTTAGGGCCATCATTGGATGCTTTAGCATTGCAGAAAAATCTGATCTTGGAAAGAAGGAGGCTGATTTGCTCACTCACCCCCTCCCCAATGCCATCTCCAACCCCACAAGGCCAAGCCTCACCTTCTGTTCTTGGATTCCTCGGGGACACCACTGAAGGGTTTCCACGCAGTCTAAGAAGCCCGAGTCACATACGTAAGCCGATTGGGTTTGGGATACTTCTAGAAACCAATCCGCTGACTCTCACAGTGAGACTGTCTGAGAAGGCGCAAGGACAGATACTGCACGTGCAGATCTCAGCGCACACTTGGCAGATCTCAGCGCACACTTGGCCTCCTGACTGCTGCTGAAACCTGAGGGCAGGGGACGAAACCAAAACAAACAGCTAGGAGACCAGAAATAGATCCCCAGCTGGCAAAACAGCCTCTGGGCACACCAGGTCTGCATAGCATCAGGTGCAAGCAAACACTTGTAAAGTCCCCTCCCTTGAGGAAGCCAGATCGTGCTAGGCCCCACAGGTCTCTGTGCCGCCCCTCACTCCCCAAAGCTGAGAGTAGCAGCCCCTGCAACCACAGTACTCACCCGCCTTATCTTCGTTCCTGACCCCCACACAGGACCCCTAGGCAGGAAAGGCACTCGGGTTTGTTGAGTAAGTGTGAACCAACATGCTCCTCCCTGCCTCTGAAGCAGGGCTTCCTAACCTGGGGTCCCCAGTCCCTCCAGGGATCCATGGGTAGAACTGAGAGGGCCCTATTCTTGGATGGGGGAAATGCATCTCTGTTTTTACTAACCTCTAACTGCAATTTACCGTTTCCTTCTATCTAAATGCAGGCAACAAACCCCAACATCACCAGTTGTAATCGCAGATAACCGTCTTATCACAACTGCGGCAGGTATCTATCTTTGAAATGCAGCAGTGTTGCAACCTGCCTCCATGTTACTGTTGAACTGATTGATAAAGCACGTTACTGTGTCACACAATTGTAACATTTAGATAATTATGCTTCACTCGAAGTAGTTTCTTTTATAATCGTATGCATTTCATTTTACGTGTTCAAAACTCTTCTGAGAGGGGGTCTGAAAGCTTCTCTAACTTACCAAAGGGTCATCCATGACATAAAAAGGCCCCAGGAGCCTGTCTCGGCCTCCGCCTCTGCAGGGCGAAGGCAGAAGTGCAGAGGTGCCACCCCTGCCAGGACCAGCCTCACTTCCTGCCACACACAGCACACACGGTCACCTGCCCAGGTCTACACTGCAGGTTTCTGGTAAAGGCACACACTGTCCAGCCCCCTTGCTGGTGCTCAAGCTGTCCCCAAGCTGGGAACACCTTCTTGCCCTTCTGCGCCGAGTCAAAGCCCCTTCCTTATTCCAAGTCTGTATCCTAAACAGCGGGGCCGAGGACGACAGCACATCCACGTGCTGCGCGGTGATGTGGACTTTGACAGTGTTCACAGCTAATCACGCAGCGCAGAAGAAACCCTTCAGGGTAAGAGAAAAGACACCAACATAAACAACAGCGCGATAGCTGTTTTAGGGGGAGGTGAGGAATGGCCTTGAGTGTGGGCTGCCCTTAGTGACTCGCTTCCGAAGAGTAAGTACGGAAAGGCAGAAAAAGCAACTTGACGGTGGAGAAACCCGGCAAAAACCACCCCAGCCGGGGGATCAGGATTGATCCCATCAGTGCTAATCCATGCTGACAGCATGTGCCCTTGATATGATGTGACAAGAAGGGCACTTCACCTCTCTGGTCTTCCCCCCCAAAAAACCCATAGCTCCAGTTGCACCATAAGAAAAACCACAAACAAATCTCAGCTGAGAAGCTGTCTACAGAATGCCTGAGCAGTGCTTCTCAAAACTGTCAAAAAGCAAGAAAAGTCTGAGAAACCGTTGCAGGCCAGAGGAAGCTAAGGAGACGTGACAACTAAATGTGATGGGGGACCCTGGATGGGATCCTGGGGCAGAGGAAGGACATCAGGGAAAACTAGAGAAATCCCAACACAATCCAGAGCTTAGTTAACAAGAACGCACCAATGTCCTCTTAATTGTGACGGATGTACGTGGTAACGTAAAATGTTAATGCTAGGGGAGCTGAGTGCAGGCTATACGGGAACTCTCTATACTGTCTTTGCGACTCTTCTGTACTCATCTTAAAGAAAAAGTTTAAATAAATTGGGAGGCTATACTAAAACCTGTCTATAATTTTTTATATGTAGAGTAGAAAACAAACATTGCAATGGTTATCACTGGGCAGGAGAAAAGGAATGGACTTTCCACATACTTTTCTGTAATAAAAATAAAATGTAAAAAAGTCAAAATAAAGAGATGTTTCCCTCTAATTATAGGTTGGCAAGCTTTATCCACTTATCCCTACGCTGTCCAAGCTACTGGCACTTAAAATGTGGCTGTCTGGATGTGCTTAGTATATAGAATGTAAAATGTCTGCTTAATAATTTTTGTAGAAGTGGTAATATTTTGGGTATCTTGGGTTAAATGAAATGTATTAAAATTAATTTCAACTGTTTCTACTTTTTTTAAAGTGGCCGCTAGGAAATTCCAAGTAGCCTATGGGGCTGACATTCTATTTCCGCTGGACAGGGCTGCACTAGAGCAGAGTTCCAGGGGTGCGGGGCTGTGGCAGGAGCCCCCGGGTGTCAAGGACAGGCAATCCCCTCCTGAAAGACCCATCCCTGCACCTCGATGATGCACACACGGGCGAGGAAAGAAGACACAAGCCACTGCAAAGTTACAAATTTATTGGTCTGGAAATAAATACAAATATCTCATTAAGAAACTCCTCTGGAAAGACTCGAACACAACAGTTCCCGGTCTGCGTTCAGCCACTCTGGCCCCGATCCTCGACCTTTCTGCACAAGGTCAGGGGGAGCCTCCCAGGTGGTGGGTGGCAGGTAAATGAGTCATTGCCACTCACGCCACCTAGAAGACTCGTCGACTTCCTTCTACTAACTCTAGGGTCCTGGAAACCACCAGGCCCCAGTGGCTGACTCACAATGTTTGATGCACTCTGATCAAACGTCTCAGAAAATCCACGGTTAGCCAGAATGAAAATCACAGGCAGTAGTATAGGAACTTGGCAGCTCCGCTGACACTGCTCAGATAGATCAGTGGTGCCACCGCATTTGGAGTAAGGGGGTTAGGGAGGCAGGAAGAGAGGAAGGCAGGAGAGGGAAGGATAGTCCCATGGAATATATGTTTCCGAATCCTGGCATTTTCTCAGCCACCATTCCCATGTGAATTCCCACCCCCACCCCACAAGAGCAAAAAGTTCTATCTGAAGATCCAGTAATGTTACCAGGTGGGAAACGTTCAGCTAGTAGGTTGAGATTCGGGCCCAGCTGTCAAAGATTGGAAACTGGATTTAACTCAATCACATCAAGATTCCTGGGAAATCACGGAATGGGATCCACGGAAATCACAACTGTACTTGATTCCATCACGAACACAAGGAATCCCTCCCATCTAGGAACGCAAATACCGCCCACCCCAACGCCCTCCCCCCCACCCCCCTGCAAGGAGACTCACACAGCCAGGAGCGGCTGGCCAGAACATTTCCCTCCATTGCAAAGAATGCAACTACAGATCTAAATTATCTTCTCCACGAACAAAAATAATCACACGCTCACGTGTCTGGGGTGGGAGAAGGGTTTGTGGGGGAGAAGCAGAGGGCAGAGCCAAAGCCTTCAGAAACCGTGACACCAGCATTTGCCACAGCGTTCTTTCCATAAAGCCGGAGCTTTGGTTGCCCGCTTTTGCCGCACATTAAAAGGACGCTAGAAAAACAGGCTTGGGTGCGTCGGCGTTCGAAGGTTTATATATGCACCAACTTTAAAAATCGATTTCTTCAAGTCAGCTATATGGATTTGTTTTTTTCCAAATGCCTCTAGCCTCAATATAAAGTCCACCTCTTTTCCCCCACTTCCTGTTTTGCCTATTTAAAAGAGGTGTCCACACGTCACTGCTCTCCCCCCTCCAAATCGGAAAAGGATTTTGTTTCCTGGAACTGGGCAGCTTCTCTGTAGTTGGAGAGGAAACAGGAGGTGGATGGCCGGCCGTCTGACAAAGCGCCCCTCTGAACCAGGATGCTGGGGGCAGCCTGGGCTTGGCTTTGTGAAGTGTTTACCACGATGGTGCTTGTTTTTGGCAGTTTGGTATCTCTGAGGGAGGGTAAGAGAGTGGCAACCGGCCACCGGTTAATGGAACAGGACACCGAGATGCCGCTTTCCTTTGGTCCATTGCCGCCCTGCCCTAATCGGAGAGGGTGCCCGAGACAGACCCAATCTGTCACCACCAGAGCTCACTCTTACAAAATAAGCTTTGGATTAATACCGAGTTAGGCGCAGTGTGGCAGGCAGGGGGCAGGAAGGGGCTGGAGGGGAGGGGGCCGCTACAGAGATCAGAGTCCGGGGTCTGCAGTCTGCACAGGCCGCCTAGCAGGAGACCTCCATGGACTTGGGCCCGGCGCTGTTCCCGGTGGCACCCGAGTTGGGAGTGATGTCCAGGTGGGCCCCCTCGCTGGTGTGGGAGCGGCTGCGGGCTCCCTCACTCGTGTGGGAGCGGCTGCGGGTGCCCTCGCTGGTGTGGGAGCGGCTGCGGGTGCCATCCAGAGAGGTGACGCTGGAGCCGGAGGCCGTGCGGGACCGCATCAGGCGTGTCATGCTGGCGGAGGGCACTGGGGAGACAGGAGACAGCCAGTTAGGGGTGGGGGACTCTACGAGGTGGAGGTGAGGGACCAGAGGCACCTGCCTGGCGCCCGTGGTGCCCTCCCACGTGGCCAGCCCCAGCCAAGCACTCTTCGTGTCCTGTCTTGATCCTGGCAGCGATCCAGCCGCTGGGTAAGCGAAGACACAATCCACGTAAGTGACTTGACCCAGATCCGGGTCTGGAGCCCAGTTCTGCCACTTGCTCAATAGCTGTGTGGCTGTGGGAACGTCCCCCTGAGCCTCCCTGCCTGATGCCCACTACCCCATGCTGTCAGCTGTCACTGGAACAGAGGACACTCCTGCTCAGCCAGGTAATCCCTGCATATCCCACGCGGGGAAAGTGAGGCCACACAGCACGTTTGTGGCAGAGCTGTTAGTCGTCATCCCTTTCTCCAAGAAGTCTGTTAGCGCCAGGCGCCAGCAAGGGCGCTGTCCGTACTTCGCATCTCCTCCAAGACTTGAAATGCCCTTGCGCAGCAGGTGCCGATGGAGTGGAACGAAAAGAAAACAACAACAAGCCTCCCTACCTGTACTGGGTTGAATAGGGTCCCCCCAAAATTCACGTGGACCCGAAACCTCAGAATGTTATCTTATTTGGAAATAGGGTCTTTGCACATATAATTAGTTAAGGATCTGGAGAGGAAATCATCCTGGATTTAGGGTGGGCCCTAAACTCAGTGACAGTGGTGTCCTTATAAAAAGTGCAGAATACACAGGGCCACAGGGGAGAAGCCCACGCAAAGGCAGAGGCAGAGACTCGAGATCCGCCACAGAGGGTCCAGGACTGCGGGGCCGGCAGAAGGTAGGAGGAGGCAGGGAAGGATCCCCCCTAGAGCCTTTGAAGGAAGTATGGCCCAGCTGACAGCTTGATTTCAGGCTTCCAGCTTTCAGAACTATGGGAGAATAAATTTCTGTTGTTTGAAGCCACCCAGTTTGTGGGGATTTGCTAGGGCAGCCCTAGGAAACTCATACCCCATGCAATTGAAGCAGGATCAGTGGGAAGGCCACCCTGAAGGATGGACATCAGAAACAAGGAAGCTGGGACCCACACAAGCACGTAGGGCTTACATTATGCACTTGCTGGACACAGGGGTTGGCCTTTGATGGCAGACACTCACAAACAGAATTAAGAGCTAGTTTTGAATCCAGAAAGAATCAGGGTCAACCCTGCCCCTGTGGCTTACATATTTCTCTGAGCTTCTATTTCTCAACCCCAAATCTGGGCATTCTCCTGGCTGGGATCCCAGGGCCACAGTGAAGGATGTCAGGTACACAAAGCGCTGGCCGTGCTGGACACCCTCGTGTGTAGGAATTCAGCGATGGGTTACTTTCTTTGTCTTTGGTTGATGCCTTTGGGACCACAGCTCTTCCTGCTATTTTCCCTAAGACCTACGGGATGCTTTGGCTTTCTGGAAATAGAAGCTGATTTGGGGCAGGGGGGATAATGAGGCCTAGCTTTTGCTTCCTTTCTCCCCAGAATACACCCTCGAAGCAGAAATCCAAACCCATGTCAGGTCCAAGACAAGCGAGAGCCGTGATTCACGCCCTGCGAGGTAGACCAGGTCTGCGCGGCGGCTTTCTCCTTCTCACTGTTGTCCGCACACTTCCCAGAGGGAAGCCAGGCCAGAGGGCAGGAGACCCACAGGCAGACGCTTTCTGTTGGGATAGGGCATCTTGGGACATGGATCCCATGTGACGCGTGTAAATCATACTTAACCACTCCCCGCCTTGCTAGAACTAAACACGGCTGAGGCCAATCTTAAGACTGCAGTTAGTTTACCAAACTTACTGCTGCTATTTTAAACAAGCCAAGAGTTTAAGGAGAAGACAAAAAAGATTAGAAGTTCAAAACTTCCTACTTAAGAAGGGCACACAAATTTACATACCCACCAACTGTGGCCACTATTCAACAGAGTTTTTAAACTCAATAGCGTCTGTCCTAGTCCTGGAACGTCATTTCTGAGAAGAGGGCTTTATATGTCCAACTAACAAATAAACTATAACCATAAAGCAAGAAGCTAGTTCTTGAATTATGTTTCCACTTATCCTTTAATTTCCAAATTTCATGGTGTAGCAAAGGCATGCTCTGTCTTGAATGTAAGCAACTCAACTCTACCAGCCACTTCATAGAGTTTTACAGTTTTCAGAGAACTTTCAGAGACCGCCCCCCGCAACTCTGCTCCCTGTTTAAACTCTCCACGCCTCAGTTTCATCATTTGTAAAATGAGGGTAACAATCTCTCATAAGACTGTTGTGATGGCTCAATGAGAAAAAAGAAAGGATTTATTAATAATCTTTTATCATTACCACCATCATCATCACCATCACCATCATCACCATCTTTATCATCATCACTGTAAGAAAGCAAGTAATCAAAATTGAAAAGATTTTCATTGTTTCATTGTTTGTCATCTTCTTGGTGCTTAAAGAGATAGTCCTTATCTAAATCCCCAAAAAAACCCTGGTATGAAACAACTTCTGTTTGATGAAGGAGGCAAACTGAGCTACTCTAGTATAAACGAGAGACTAGCACCTCTAGAGTGCCATGCACCTTCCACACGCCTAAATATTTCCTCTTCTGCTCTGCCCAATTTTCGAAAAGCTGGAGCTGGCCAATGCAATACAGAATCTTCATCCAAACCCGGCTCAGGGGACTGCATTTCCGACTCCCACACCCCCCAACGCACTACATGCTGAGCAACCATACTCACTGTAGCCCATGCCCTGCACGAAGTACTTGAAGGCCTCAGCGAGCTTGGCCGGCTGCGAGAGACAAGGAGAGACAGTGCAGTCAGTCACCGGGGCCCGGATCACCCAAGGCCACCAGGAGCTAGGCCCATGGTCAGCTTTATTCATTCACTGGCCCAAGATGGAGGCCATCACTTATTGACAGGACAAAACACAAAAGTAAAAGAAAGACTGGGGGATAATTAGGGGACCACACTAGCTTTGGCCAGAGAGAAAAAGTTCAAGTTCACTTCACAGTTGTAGGAACGCGGACAAGTTACATGACCTGTCTGTGTCAGTTTCCTTGTCTGTAAAACAGGGGCAGAGAGCTACAACTACCGCTGAGTGCTTCTGGGGAGACTACATCAGACAAAGTGATGCGCCCAACTCAGCATCCGGGATATACGTGTAACAGCATCATGTGCCGCTCACTGAGCAAAGGGTTTGGCTGCTCTATTCCATTTACTCCTGACAACCACCTCATGGTTAGTACTATTTTGTACACATTTCACAGATGAACAGAGTTTGGAGAGGTCAGAAGTGCTGGGTCCTGCAGATCCGCCCAGGTTGTCCAGACTCAGAACCCGTGGTCTCGCACCACCAGCCTCGATCGTGGGCTGGCCGGCAGGAAGACAGATGAAGGATGAATAAATGGATGATGAGAAAAAAAGAATGCATAGAAGAAGGAAGGAAGGAAGGAAGGAAGGACAGACTATGGATAGATAAAGAGTAAAAGGGATCAATGGGCAGAAGGAAGGAAAGAGAGCGAGGAAAATGGATAAAAGAAGGAAAAAATGGAAGGAAAAAAGGATCTAAAGAAGAAAGAATGGATGTTGGTTGGACAACCCAATGAACTAATTGATTGATGGCTACCTTAAGTGAAACGAGTAGGACATGCTGAGAGCACACCCAGTTCTACCCGTTACTCTCAAACAATCTAATGTAGACGAGAGGTGTATGCACGAGTATCGAGGGCGTATTTGCAGCTTTACATTAATTCCACCGGGTAAATCCAGTGCCCTGGGCTGCATTCTCCTGTGACAGTGAGAAGTCACTGACAGAGGCAGTGTTGCCCACTGTCCACCTTTCCACAAACAGCCAAATGACATTTACAGGAGAGGCTATGCTTAAATTGCCCTCTGAGACTTGTGTGACAATGGAAAAGGACAAGGGAGTCGGGGCTGCAGATGACAGGGACACCTGTGGTGGTGGAGGGAACCAAGAACATAGGCTTTGGAACGAGAACATCTGGGCCCAAATTCTGCTCCCGTGGGCCACCGTGGGCACTCTCTCTCCTCTTAGCCTCGGTTTCCTCTTCTGTGACACTGGGACAAAATGCTTGATCTTCCGAGGACAGTTGCAAGGATCTAACCACATCAAGGGTGGGAAAATCCTACATAAACACGCAGCCAGTGAGGGCACAATGGGGAGGTGTCTGCACAGGAACCAGTCCTCTGCGGGCTGGTTTCCTGGAAGCCTGCGCTAGCTGAGCCCCAGCCATGGCATTGAAAATTGTTTTGATTACAGCCAGGGTTAGACCTGTTCTTGTTTCAAGTAGAGAAAGGAAGAAAGAAGGAAGAGAGGAGGCAGGGTTTGGAGGAACACAGTGACAAAATATTCACATACTTTGTTATATTTCACATTTCAAGATGGAACACAAAATTCTCATGATATAACATTATTGAGAATATAGATAAAAAGTTCCTTCATTAGGTGGGTGGGTTTATTTACGGGAGGAGAATGGGAGGAGTTAGTTATTGTGCAGCAAACACACAATATTGCTTGATGTTTGTGCACACGCACACACGCGCACAAGCAGACACACATGTACACGTATGCACACAGACAGACATGTGTGCACACATATACGTGCACACATATGTACTTGCACATACATACACCATTTGGTTCAATCTCCTCCCCACCCCTCTGCTCTGGGCTGGAGCTCCCTGGGGGCCCTTCACTCCTGCAGAAGCTGTGGTCTTTGGGGCAGGCACATCGAGACCCTGACTCTCGATGACCAAGCTGTGTCCACTCGGCCTCCATGAAGCCCAGTATCCTCTACTCCACAGGGGTTAGTTTCTGAGGGATCAAGTGAGTCCCTGTGAACAAGTGCCTTTTATAAACAGTAACATGTCCACAATCTGTCATCTGATGTCACAGTGAGGTGGTGAGGGCAAAGGCATCAGCGGGTCACAGCGGCACATGCACTCCACCCAGGGAGATGCGAGAGGTGCTTAACGCGAAAGCTAAGGTGGCACTCACCTGAGAGATCTGTGGGAGGCCGCCGCAGTCCGCCATCTAGGAGGGATAGAAGCTGGTCAGCACCACACACCTCAGCTGAGGCAAGTTCCAAACGGGCGCCCACCTGCCTGCTGCCCTGCCCTGTGGAGGGGCACTGAGCAGACTGTGGGTGGGGGCACCCCGGCCCCACCTCGCAAGGCTGCTACTGCTCTCATTACTATCCTCTAGCATCAGACAGCGTCTCCATGGAAACCACGACTTGTAGTTTACGATGTGCCAGGCACTATGCAAAGCCCTATAGATAATTTCACTCCGCTCCCCAAGAACCGCGGAAGGTAGAAATGTCTCATTTTAGAGGCAGAAACTGGGCCAGAGAGAGCTGGAGGAACTTGCAGGATTCTGGCCCGGCTCTGTCTGACCTGAAAGGACTCTATGTAAGGCCCTTTACAGACATTCCCTGGAAAGATTCCCTTGAAAGGAAACTGTTAGAATGGAGGGAGACTTCCGGCTCAACAGGGCTTCTGATGGGTTACCTTTGTAGACACTGTGTCTTTCAAAGTTCCTATTAAATCACCAACTCTAATTCCATCGCCAGGGAACCGAGGCCAATGTACCCCATGTCTGGATACATTTACATGTGTGCAAATGTATCCAGACATGGGAACAAGCAGGGCCGAGGGCTGAGAGCGCTCAGGCGGCAGGGTAAGGGCGGGCTGCAGGGAAACGGGACCGTGCTGTCCTACAGTGCAGGGACCCTCAAGGCTAGATTCCTGAGCCCCACAAGACCTGACTAACCTGGGGTGGTCCTCGGCTCAATGAGAACACAATGAACAGGATGCTAGAACTTTACCTGCAGGGACGAGTCAGCAAGTGGGCAGTGGACAGAGTCTGTCTAGACTGAGGCTGAAGTAGGTCCCGATCCTGGATCTACCAGCAAATCAGCCACCCGACTTAGGCCACCCGCACTTTGCTATGGGTTGTGGGTTGAATTTTGCCCCCCGCAAAAAGACACGTTGAAGTCCTAATCCCCAGTATCTATGAATGCAACCTTATCTGGAAATACGACCTTTGCAGATGTAACCAAGTGAAGATGAGATCATATTGGATTGGGGGGGCCCTAAATCCAATGACTGATGTCCTTAAAAGAAGAGGGCAGTTTGGACACAGGCACAGAGACACGCAGGGAGAATGCCAGGTGATGGAGCGGGCAGAGGCTGGAGTGATGGAACCACAAGCCAAGGAACACCGAGGGCTGCCAGCAGCTGAGATGTAAGGACGGAGTCCCTCTCCCAGCACCTTCAGAGGAGCACGGCCCTCCCTGCTGACACCGATTTTGGACTTCTGGCTTCCAGACCATGCAGGAATAAATTTCTGTTGTTTTAAGCCACCCAGTCTGGGGCACTTTGTAACGGCAGCCCCAAAGTTCAGCATTATGCAAGGCTGAAGCCCAGCATCTGCTAATCTTGCAATTTCCTGTTGGGGGATCTTGGAAGAAAATGTATGTAAAGAGCCCGATACGGGAGCAGCCTCCCACTCGGTAAGTGTCAGCCCCTCGTGCACTCAAGGGCCTTCTGCTCCTATGGGGGGGTTGAAGGAACAGTGACCCACAGATGCCACCTCCTCAGCCTTCCCCCAGTGCGGGGAAGCTGCCTCATCTCCACACAGGCCCCTCCTGGTCACCTGCCCTCGCAGGGGTAGGGCCGGGCTGGGAGGCCCCTCTGAAAGGTTCCTACTCTTGTGTGCACCTTCGGCTGAGGCTGCCACAACGGTCTGTGGTCTCGATTGTGCCATCAGCTGTAACTGACAGGGCACTGGCGGAGGTTGCTACAGACCCTCGAGTCCAGCTATGGGGGAGCGAGCACACTATGTGCTCCAGTGAACCTGCTGGACAAAGTCCTCCCCTTCCACGGCCTTGGGAGACACTTGCTCTTCCTGACAAGCAGAGCCCCTCTTGGAGGAACGTCCTGGCCCCACCCCAGGGATGGCCCCTGCCAGGCCTTTCCTGGTCCACCCCTCCCCAGAGCCCAGCAGCCTATAGACTCCTGCGGTCCCAGAGAGGGACCCTCGCAGCCTCAGGTCGCCGGCCAGCAACCAAATAGATGTTTGTAAATAGATATATTAAGTCATTATTTCTATGGTTTCTGGCTTATTCAGGCACAATTTAATTTTGCAGAAAACTTGAGGGTTTCTGAGAAATAAGAAATGCAAACCCTCATTGATTTCCCTGTACCTTGAGAAGAGTGGTCTTCGTTGGGTCCAGTTTTGAGTTGCACTCCACCTGGACAAGAGAGAAGACATTTGTTAATTTTCTACCCGAAGCCGAAGTCAAAACCTTTCCTCCTTCCCTGGCACTCTGCCACCATCACCAGAAACTCCAATATTCCCTCTACACAGAAGAAAAAAATGTGAGTTTCAGGGTTAAACAGATGTAGCTTTAAATCCCAACCCTGTCATTACCAGTCTTGTGACCTCAGACAAGTTACTTAACATCTTTGGGCCTCAATTTCCTCATCAATAAAATGGTGATAATATCTTTTTTCAAAGTGTTATTCTGAGCTAAATGATGCCTTGTTTAACCAGCTGCTGTCAAAGATTCTACAGGTGATAGATCCCCAGATCCAACAACTATTATTCATATAAAATCACAATGACCAAGCTGGTTTCTCTCTTCATTTTGTCACCTTGAAAATGGCATCCAGAATTGGCCAGAATATCCATATGTATCCTGTGATGTTCAAAATGCCCAACATAGAACTGTCACCTCCTATAATGTGAATAATATATCTCTATTGATGCATCCTTTGATTATCTCCAGTGGGCCAGCCCACAAGAAACCCATGGTTGACTAAGGCATCCCAGGTCTTCACTGCATGAACATCTGCACAAGGCATGCCACCACTCTAGGACTCTGACAAACACACCCTAAGTCTCCCATCTCCCCAGCTGTGTGGTTTTCAGAGAGGTAGTGTCTTCTCTTTGCCTCCACAACATTGTGGGTGGGAATGAAGGGGTGAAATGAGTCACAAAGCTTTGCCTAAGCCACACTGCCCAGGTGCCTCTCGCCTGCCAGATGGTCAGGCACCAATCAGATAGGAAAGATCCCCTTGTTTCTTGGTTGGGGGGGGGCTTTTTGGCCGGGAGGCCAGTTGGCAACCTTGTTGTTTTAATTGCGTTCGGCGGTTGGGGGGGCTTGGAGGGGGGGCCGGGGGGCCCCTTGCCAGGCGGGCGGGGCGGGCGGCCCCCGGGGGGGGCTTGGTGGTTGGCCCTTTTGCCCAGGGCCCAGGGGGGCTTTTAAAAATTTTCCCTTGCTTTGTTGGGGGCAAAGGGGGGGGGGGGGGGTTGGGGCACTTCACACAAAGTCAACCAGACTTGAAATGTTGAATTAAACATGGAAACCAGTTGTTGATTTCTACATACCACAGCATCCACAGCAGGGGAGTTGTCCCCAACCACTAGCAGAGCAGGGCACCTGGGGGCAGGGAGAGAAGGGGGCAGTGAGCACAAGGTTCGTGTAAAGATTCTCACACTTCCAGGCCTGCCAGCCTGGGACCAGGATTCGAAAAAATTTATTTTGGTTTCCCCAGTACCCTTTCTCTTTTTACTTCATTCTCCCTCCATCCTCTGCTTTGCTCTTAGGATAAAATGGGTTGGGAATCATTTACACTTTAGTATAAATTTCTGTGCCCTGATGTTTGTATCTTAAAGCATCCTTTTGTCAAGGATGGATGAGCAGGACTTTGCCGGTAGTCAAGACAGAGACAAGAACAGCATGAGTGACAAAGAAAATGGCATGCCAAGTTCCCAAGTGTCAGACAACATGGTGCACTCAGAAAGGCACAAAAAGACACTGTCATGACTGCTGGGGTCCCAGCTAGTTGTGTTCACAGCTGCCTTTTCCTCCTGGATTTATGGAGCACCAAAGGGGGCTCCTGTGTCACCCATTTCTAGGCTTTGTGAAGTAAAGCCTGACACAGTTATGGACGTAGTAAATAAAGTACAGTCGCCATTCCTTCCCCAGCTCGAGGGCTCCCACCTGGATCATGACACCCTAAGAGCTGATGCCCTCTGCACACAAAGACGTCTGAGCCAGACTGGGTAAGTCTCGATCATCGGACAGAATACATCCAGTTCTCCCCCACGGCAGTGTCCTTCCACAAGTGTGGCAGTTTCCCCGGACTCAGGAGAAGGCCTGCTGCAACCGTGCGCAAGGCTAGACGGTGGGCAGCCCTGGCTGCAAGAGGTGGGGAACAGAAAAGCAACTCACTGCAGGGTCACCGTGTGGGTTCCAGGCATCGGTCGCTCTATCTCCAGGTCCCGCCGGCTGCAGGCAGAAATCGCATCATTAGCAACAGCAGACCCTCCGCTGGAGGAAGCCCCCGCCCCGCCGAGCCAAGCCCGGAGGTCCCACCATTGGCCATCCTGGCAAACCACCTGCACCGCCAACCTGTGCACGGTCCTGTGACTGTCGAGATGCCACAGCCTCTTGGCGTCCACAGCAGTGGTTAAAGCCTCAGGTGTTTCTAGAGGAGCCCACCTCATTTTGTCCCAAATATGTGTGCGTGTGTGTGTGTTTTTAACAGGAGTACAAATCATGTCCTCCTACAGAGAGTCGCTGCCTCCTGTCCCCTACTCAGAGCCCCTCCTGACAAACAGGCTGGGCTCCCAAATGGTCTCCCAGCCTCTTGGTCTGAGCCCTACCCTCACCAACTCCGAGTTGTCTATAGTGTAGCCACATGATCTCTTTAAAACTCAGACCTGATCTTTCCATTCCCTTGTTTGAAGCCCTCCGATGGTTTGCCACGGTGCTAGTGTAAGGCCAGCGCGGGCCAGCCTGGTGCGGATCACCCTCCCCTGCCTGTGTACACCCACGCTCTCTGCTGTCCTGCAGTTCCCAGCGTTCCCCTCTTCAAGCTCATAGCCTGGAGCAGACAAGTGGGATTCAAATCATGCTCTGCCACTTTCTGGCTGTGTGACCTTGGACAGATTACTGAACCTCTCTGTGCCTTTGCTTCCTCAGAAGGAAATGATGATAATAGCACCCTCACGGTGGGGTTTTTGAGAAGGATCAGTGAATTGCTGTGCTCTCCATGAGAGGGGAGGAGAGTGTGGCATTTGGGGGTTGTGTTGATCACCTCTGGGCCCCCACTGCCAGCTGAAAGCCGGACTCCCTCCCCATTCTCCGTAAGTGCCTGCTAAATGAATGGACGACTGAGCCTCTGTCTCTTCAGTTACACCATGAGAATATTATTATTAAATAGTTAGAGCCTCCCAGGCCGAGATGCTGGCAGGGCTGTAAAAGGAGGCAGATACCAAACTTCGTTACAAACACTAATGCACTTCATGAAGTCAAGTTATTAACACTGGAGGAGACACAAACCCTACCAGGCTCATTCCCGTCCCCTTTTTTGGGAACGTGTCAGAGCTAGCTTGGCAGGCTGAGTGAGCTCCGTGGAAGATTCCAGAATCCCTGGCTGACACTAGTGGCTCTGAGCTGTCCGTGGCCGAGCTCCAGATAAGCACCTAGTTAAGAGGCTACACCTTCGCGGAAGGCTGTGTTCGGGTCCTCCTTATCCTTGGAGTGACAAACTCGCCTCTTAGAGGCCTCCCTGGACTCCTCCTGCCCTCACTTAGCTCTTCTCACACCGGCCTTCCGTGTAGGTCGGCCACGGGCACAGGCATTCACTGTCAACCTTTGGGTGTGCAGCTGCGTCCCTCTCGTGTGTGTGTCCCCGGGGGGCTGGAGGAGTACTCAGGTCCTCGCGAGGCTTGCCGAACTCCAGAACCACCTTACATACCAGGTGGCCCTGCTGGGCACCCCTGTCCTATTAATCTATTTGCTTCAATTCAGGGCCTGCACCTTCTGCTAATTTTATAACACCCCTCTCCCTCACCCCATATTCCAGAGCGACAAAAGGTGTCTGAGAAATGGCAATCCCAAGGCCAACGGCCCCCCGGTACCTGTTGTAGGCATTGATGAACAGGTGCAGGTTGCCGGGGTTCATGTCATTGACGATGTGCTGGCGGTAGGTGTGGACCACCTCCACGTTATTCTGCATTTCCTCCTGCATTTGGAGAGGCGGGGAAATGTCCTTCACTGTGCTGTGGCCCTGGGCTGGCCACCACTCTCCATTCTCCAGGTTATTTGGGTACAAGGTAAAGACAATAATGCCTAATCCACAAGCCAGCTGTCGGGCTTACGGAAGCCTTCAGGAAGGCAGCCGATACCTGGATGCAGACTGGGTTCGACTGTCCCCTGGTAGCAGGAAAGAACCACACTTGGAAAGGCAAAGCACACCCTCCTGGGCTCATTACTTAGGGAGTTTTGATTTGCAGTCAGTGCTCCTGTATCTAGAGCTTGGCTTCATCACTGTCCTTTCGGGCAACTCTTTTTACCTCTCTGAGCCTCAGTTCTCTCAATAAAAGGGGAATAATATTACCTACTTCACCAGGTTGTGAAACTTAATGGAGGTTTGCACACAAAAGCCCTCTGCAAACAGTAAAATCAGATACAAATGTTAGCAATTATTTTTTTTTAATGGTAAGAGGTGAAAAGAAGTTTTTCATGCTTGAAAAACAGAACCAACTCATGCAGCAGGAAGTTGCTGGAAAGAAGGGCAGTCTTTGTTCTCACAGGGGGCCAAACAGAGCCTTGCAGGAGGCCAGCCTCTGCCATCCCTCTCTCTGGATGCTTTTTGAATGTGACTTGGGACAAACAAGTAAGTTATGGCTTGTGGCTTGCTCTGGCTCTCGTTTGTCCAACAGCAGACACGAGGTTCCACACAAGGGTCTGATGTGCCCAGCGGCGACCAGAGCAGGGGTGGGAGGGAGCAAGGAGAGCCCAGGTCGAACTTGAACTACATCAAAACAGGCCACAATCATTTAAGCAGCAAAGAGGCCAACTGGCTATTAAAGGAAAAATCAGGAAAAAAAAATAATCTGAGGAATTACACGGGGATTTCAGATCAAAACACAACTGCAGCAACTTGGGGGCACCCATTGGTACCCCGACCAGCCGGTCTCCAGGTAACCTGGGTACAAGGTACAATCAGGTTGGATGCTCGATGCTATACCCGACATCTCTCCTCCAAGCAAACAGAGACACTTGCTCAGAATTTTTCCAAGTCCCTATTAGTTTCAGACGACACACTCAGGGCAGAGAAAAACGTATCACACACTGGAATGAACCATAGAAGAGGAAAGAGAACTATAGCGGGCTAAACAGTGGCTCCGAAAGATACGTCTATGTCAAATCCCTGTAACTTGTGAATGTAAACTTATTTGGGAAAAGGGTCTTTGCAGATGGTAATTGATTAAGGATCTTGAGATGAGATCATCCTGGACTGTCCCAGTGGGCCTAAATAAAATGGACAGTATCCTTATAAGAGCAAGGACGCAGAGACTTGACATAGAGGAGACAGCCGTGTGAAGACGAGGCAGAGACCGGAGCGAGCTGCCACTAGCCAAGGAAAAGCCGACTGGACTCTCCCCTAGAGCCCATGGAGGGGCACAGCCCTGCCACACTGGATTAAAAAGGAACGGACTATGTATACACCCCACAACATGGAGAGATCTCAGAACAGTTACGCCGGGTGAAAGTAGCCAGACAAAAAGTATGAGGCCATTTATATAAAAATCAAGGAATTAAAAAAATCTAAGAATTGCGAACTAATCTATAGTGACCAAAAACAGATCAGAAGTTGCCTAGGGAGGTGGAAAAGGAGGATTAACACGCGGCACAAGGAAACTCTTGGGGTGATGGAGATGTTCACTATCTTGATTCCAGCGATGGTTTTATAGATGTACACGTATGTCAAATTCAGCAAACTGTACACTTTAAGTATATACAGTTTATTGTATGTCAATAAAACTGTTTTTAAAAGACCTGTGTATTCATATAAAAAGGGAGAATGAATGACTTGCTGCTTATGAATGAATAACGTTGCATTATTTCATAGGTCAGCACAGCGGCCCCCCCTTCACTGTGTCTTGTTCGACTCCGCCCCCACATGGGGCTCTGTGCCGAGCACCACACAACTAACCACTCCGTGGGAACAACACGATGCCAGGCCGTGCTACTTACCTTCCCAAAGAGGTGGGACACCACCATGTCTGGCAGGGCTTGGGTCCATCCGGAGATCTGGGGAGAATCACAGCAGGTGGTTTAGAAACCAGGAGTTAACAGTAATTAACAAGGTCGGCAAAACCACACTGTGCTGGGGGGCAGAGTGGCATTGCTGGGCTCCCCTAGCAGTCGGAGGACACCCGCCTCCGTGGGAATTTGGTTTCTGTCTCCAGTTCCCCATTGGACCCGACCCCTGCACGGCAAGGCCCAGGGCTCTGTCTAATCCCTTATTCTCAGAGCTCCACACGCAGGAGATACACGGCAAATGGTTGCGCCATAAAGACCCAGCCAGCTTGTAGCTTATCCTGCTCCAAAAGCCCTCCAAGTTCTCAGCAAGGGCCTCTCACTCCTTCTAAACACACTGAGCCCCTCAGTCTACACCCCAGGTCTGCCTGGCTCCTAACTATCCCATCTCTATCATCTTCTAGTCTTCTTCCCTCAAGCCAGTTTCCTTTCTCTAAATACACTGAGGTTACTAAAGATATTGACCACCTTCCCTCTACCTCTCCTTAGTGAAAAGCTAGGTATACAGCAGGAGCTCCATAAATGCTACATATACAGCAGGAGCTCCATAAATGTTTGCTGACTAGAGCAGGGGTGGGACTGGTAGGAGGGAAGCTCTAGACCTGGGGGTCCTCAGCTGGCCCCTGACTGCTATATCCCAGCTGTGCAGCACTGGGCAGGCTGCAGACCTCCGGACCTCAGGCTTCTCATCTGTACTGGGGGTACCAGGAACTTCAAAGTCACAAGGTCAAGGTGAGGATTACAAGAGACAACTACACATGTCTCAGTATCTGACATTAGTGCCTGACACACAGTAGGCCCTTGATATAGGTCTTCTTTCTCCAAGACTGGGCTTGGAAAGGAAGGTGAAGGTGCAGATATTTAAACCCCATGAACATTCCTCAGGCTCCACGTTAGCCAGTGATCGATGTCCCCAGCCCTCCAAGTCTGGCTCAGAACAGCTATCCAGGAGCCCAACTGGCTGAATGGAATGTCACTTCCTTTGCTGGAAAATCAAATAAAAAATAGGGAGTGTGTTCCACTCCCGAATGTCACGCAGGCAGGGGGAAGGGCTCCCACACACTGGCGGAATGCTCATGGAAAATACAATGTCACGGTTGCCAGGACAGGGGTGGGAGGCAGAGGGGGAGGCATGACCCCTGCAAGCTCTCTGTCCCTGACAGCTACCTCAAACTTGGCAAAAACACACTTTCAGAACAAGGAGCCAGGATCCCCCAGCTTGAAAGGCTTTGTTCTATTTCAATTGGACTGATTTCTCTCTCTCCTTGGCAAACACCGGGGCCTTTATGGGGAAAAACGAAAACAATAATAATTTTTAAAAGATAAACAAGGAATCACAGGACACCAGCCAGGGCACAGCTTCCCAAGATAGCTCAGGCCCTTCTCGTCCAGGCAGCCCATCCTGCAGCCCAGACCTGCCTGTCTCCCACCTGGGACAGGAGCCCCAGGGGCAGGTACGGTCAAGCCCCCAGACCTTGGAGCCAAAGGGATCTGCATCCAGTCCCAGCTCTACTGCCTGGCTGTATGTGACCCTGGACAACTTCTCTAACCACTCTGAACCTCAGTTTCCTCCTCTGTAAAATGGTTATAAAAATTCCTACCTCCTGGAGTTACTTTGAGGATTAAGTGAGGTAATGCATATATAGCAACATAAAGTAGAACTTGTACATTGTAAACTTTCAATAAATGTTAGCTAATTATTATCACAAAATTTAGTGACAATCAGTACTAAACACACATTTCTTTTTCATTAATAATATGTGAATTCCTAAGATTAGAGGCTTTTGTCTCATGCATCTCAAGAAGTCTTGTTTATTCAGATGCTCAGCATTTTGAGCAAAGCCGGGCACAGGTTAGGTAGCCAGCAAATACTTTCTAATCTGAGCGATGCTTACCAAAACTGGCTCAGGGGCCCATGTCCCAGTGGTATCTCTGGCTTAGATAGCACAGCCCTACTGAAATCTTGTGAACGGCAAATAGCTAAGGTCGTGTTTATTATTGTAAGCAAGCAGATGAAAACTGCTTTCTTTGCTGGGGTGGGCAGTAGGAGTAGTGGAGAAGTGGGGTGAAGAGAGGTCTCGTAGCTGCAAGGCTGCTCCAGGCAGAGGCTGTGTGCACTTGGCCCTGTGCATGCAGGGACCCCACCTGCCTGACGCAGGCCCCCAGCCTCACCTTGGAGGCGGCCCAGTCCATCCAGCCTTCGGCACAAGGGTTCACGTTGATGAGGACGAGGCCCTCCACCATCTCGGGGTTGTTCAGCTGCAATTCAAGACTCGAGGTGAGACAGACGACCTGGCAATCTGAAACACTATGGACTTGAAGAGTCAAACCGAAGCTTGAGGGAAGTGCCCAGAAAAGGGCCAGTGCGGGGCACCAAAGCAGGCTGCTGTTCTTGAGTCGTCACAACTCCCCAACCCCCGCCCCGTGCAGAACTGGGGTTCCAGCTCAGCAGACGTTGAATCGGGCCCCCGAGAGAGTGGATAAAGGAAAGAGGAAGGCGCAGGAGAAGTAGGGAAGCATGTGCTGCACAGACCTCCAGTTATCAAACAAGTATAACACGCCACCAACCTCATCAATCAGACGGGGTGCAAAAATGTCCTCTAGTCACAGTAGTAACAACTCCATTACTGCTAGGAGCTATATATTTATATAGTCACACAAACACTGACACACACACACACACACACACACAGAGTTATGCATCGCCTAACGACAGGGCTATGCTCTGAGAAATGTGTCGTTGGGCGATTTTGTCCTTAACATCCTACAGCGTACTTACACAAAGCTAGATGGCATGGCCTGATACACACCTAGGCTACAAACCTGCACGGCATGTGCTGTAGGCAATTGTAACACAATGGTAGCTAGTTGTGTGTCTAAACATATCTAAATATAGAAAAGGTACAGTAAATATGGTAATATAATCTTATGGGACCATCACTGGATATGCAGTCTGTGATTGACCAAAACGTCGTTATGCAGCAGAACTCC